TTGAGTCCATTGATACTGCCACTTGGCCAATCCATCTTGCTGGGGGTCTTACTCTTTTTCTCTGATCCTCCACCTTCTCCATCTTCTTCAAACATGAGATCCTTCTCAAGTGACTGGTCCCTCCTGACAATATGTCTGAAGTATGAGAGATGAAGTTTGCCATCTTGGCCTTGAAGGAGCACTCTGGCTTGCACTTCTTCCAACACAAATCTGTTGGTTCTATGGGCAGCCCATGGCACTTTCAATATTCTCCTCCAACACCATAACACAAAACCATCAATTCTCTATGGTCTTCCTTATTTACTGTCCAATGTTCACATGCATATGAGGTTACTGAAAATATGGTAGAGGCAAGAAAAAAACCACCCAAAGTGAAAACCAAACTCTTCACTATGTACAGACCTACGAAGAATCTATGTAATTTTTAAATTTGCCACTATTCATCTAAGTTGTTTAGGAATATGTAATTAAGCATCCCTTGGCCCTGCAGGATAATGCACGGGTCTGCAAAGTCTGTTTGAATTGCAAGGTTGGCACCTAAAACCCACCAGCCACTCCTTGAGAACTCTATACAGGGTTGCTATGAGTCAGAACTGACTCAAAGGCACTTAACAAGAACAACATTACTTAACAATTGAAATGTCCTGCCCTGTCATCTTTGTATGTATATATACTTCTTAATTCAACAAAAAATGGTAATACATTCAGGAACAGAACACATAAAACCACACAAGTTTTACCAGTAATTTCTTTTAAATTGTTAGAAAATATTAAGGCAAAACCCCAAAAAGAAGCAAACTATAAGGGAAGAGTGATCACAGTGGTCTCAGAAATGTGTAGCTTTTAATCTTTAAAATAGAAAATCTGCCTAATTAATTTAGATAGTAAGGAAAGCAGGATGAAGAAAGAAATAAGAATTTGGACTAAATAGACCAACCTGCTAAGATAATCTACCATGGTTTCAGAGCTTCTCTTTTAACTTCTCACCAATTATAAGGTAAAGAAAGACTATTCATTCCCAGTGCTGGAGCAAAAAAAAAAAGGAAAAACTAATCCCTCACTATGTTCCACTAACATGAGCTATAAAAATGGAAAGAAATTTAGGAAAAGTATACTTCCAACTAAAATGATTTAA